GAATTAAACTATTTATCGTTATTTTTATTTTATTTAAAAAAAAAGTTTAGTTATCACTCCATGTTTTCTTGATATTGAGACATCAACATTTTAGACTCGACTTTGTCTCGTTTTAAAACAATGTCAGTTTTAATCTCGTTTAATACTGTCTTGATGTCTTGAGAACAAGTCGAAGATAACAAATTATTTGATAATGTCTTTCTGAACATACGTGCACCAGAAATGTGTTGACCCATTTTGTTTTGAAAATAAAACATTTCATTCATGGGGCCTAGTTGTAGAGTTTGAAAATTTAAAAGCAATTAAAAGCAATTAAAATACAATTCGGTAGTAGTAAAACTGTTCACTTGTAGGCGCTTCCACTTGTTTACTTCGCAATGAATTCTAAAGATTTGCTGATCTATTCAAAAAATATTTGTCTTCATAAACTTAAAACGGTGTTTCCTGACCTGAATTTGAATTATTTTCTTTATCAAAATTATGTACATCATGCATAATTATATATAACTGAATCAGGTCCCCTCGTGGTCTTCTTTTGTCCAGATTGGTTAAATCTAACACTTTGGGACGCTTTTTTAACGTAAATTTCTGATTGACATTTTGTAGAGCGATGTTGCACTCTCTCGAGTAAATGGCAGTCGCTTTTGAGTACTGGAGACCAAACCGATACAGAAAGCTTAAATAAAGGCCGAATAAAGGTTTCATTAACTTGCAGTTAAACTTTTTTATTAGTATTCATTAAAAAATCAGGATCTGACAGACGCAGAAACTGTTACAGCATGCAAGACATTAGTATAAAATAGTAATGAAAAAAATAATTGAATAAATTAATAATTAATAAATTAATAATTAAATTATTAAAGGAAAAAAGTTTTTAAACGTGAAAAGTATCAAAAATAAAATAAAGTAATGGTATAAAAAGGCAAATGAGTAAAATAATTCATTAATGATTTAGTGAGCTAGTGAGGTAATCGATAAGTAAAAAAGAAAACAAGATTGAGAAAAAAATGAGACATAGAAATAATTAATAAATCAACAAATATATCTACATAAATATTTATATTTAAATTCAGATGAGAAAAATACGACCCAAAGTTGACTTCATTAAAAATTCTCATGAACTTTATCAAATTTTGACATCTCAGTTTCGTCTAGGTCTCAAATTTCATGACTTGTCCTTGCATGTCTCGAGACATGCTCTTCAAAAGTATCTCTTTTGAACTTTCAATGTCTTTGTCTTGTCTTTGGTTATTATACAACAAAATCGTCAATCTATCAGTATGCACAATTCAAATTATACCGTAAAGGGAGTAAATCAATTTTCAAAAAAAATTCGTTTCGGTAAAATAATCCAGGATTTGTTTGCTGCGTATTCAAAACAATTAATCCATCAACGGAAACGTTTATAAAAAAAAGAGGGTCAAGTTTATAAAAAGTTGTTGCAATAGAACACTCGTAACCACAATCTGTTTAGACATATTTTCAAAGGCTTATGAAATATTTTTTTCTTAGCGAACAAATCTTTTTTCACCTAGCAATCAAATGTTTTTTAATTAATTTGTTCTTACGGTTTTCTCGCTTTTTCAGCAAGATCAAAACTTCAATTATAATTAAGTTTTTCATCTTCTACCTTCTCATTTCTTTTTTCGTATTTAATTTTTTTTTAATTATTGTCATTTTTTATTTTAAGATATTACTAGAAGTTTCTTAGACATATAGAATGATTTTTTTTTTCTAAATTAACCCTTTGAAATAGTTCAATCAAGGTGTTTAAATTGGAAACATTTTTAGCATCAGCATTTTGGTTTTTTCCCGTAGTCCTGCGTTTGGTAAAATCAAAATAAATCAAACTAATTCCACGTTTTGTTCTTCATTATCGAAATTATCCATCTACTTCATTTTCCATATTCATCTTGTTGGTTCATGAAAATTATTGAAACGAATTAATTTTTTTAACATTTTTCTTTCCTAATTAATCTATTATTTTAAATTAAAAATTATTATAAACAATTAAATTTTTCCAAAACAAAAATATTTTTTATATTCAAATAAATATTGTTTAGAAATAAGTATTGTTTTCATTTGTAATAAACACTTACAAAATAACTTCCAAAAAAAATAACTTTTTTTCATTAATAGCTAATATTTTTCTAGCCACTATCTACGAATAATTAAAAACTATTTCAAGTTTTTGTTTATATCATTCAAAAGATTCATTTAAAAAATACAGTTGATCTATTTTAATGATTAAAAGCATGTAAGTAATAGAAACAAAAAAAAAAAACCCAAATCGATAGAACAAATATATAATTTCAAATATGAATGATGTCACTAAATAGAATATTAATTAAGCTGATAAAAACTAAAACACCAGTCTATCCAGTCAGTCAGTCAGTCAGTCAGTCAGTCAGTCAGTCAGTCAGTCAGTCAGTCAGTCAGTCAGTCAGTCAGTCAGTCAGTCAGTCAGTCAGTCAGTCAGTCAGTCAGTCAGTCA